CGCCTCTAGTGCAGTTACCCGAGCAGTGAACTATTGGCCTAATATTTCATATTAGAATTTCTATTGTCTGGGGGTGTGCGATAGACTTACCTCCACGTGGTGCACTCTGGGCAACGTATACTCATACGGCAAAAAAGTCTATTAACTGGCAGTTGACTTCTCACTTCAAACTACCATCACCCCACTCTGTGAATCGCTCTTCTGTTCCCCACCCCTCTACTTTCTTCTACTTTGATGAACCTTCCCTCTGTGAAGCCCGAAGTCAGCTAAAGAGCTAATGATAGCTATCAAAACGCCTGCCATTTGAAATAAATAAATATATTAGAATTTCTATTGTCTGTCAGTCCTTGTTAAGAGCTGGTCTGCTATCTTACTGCCATTTCAGTCTGGTTTAGTACATGTTGGCGTTCTGCGTAATGGCTGTGTGGTTGAGTTGTCTGTTTTCTTATTCTCAGATAAATGACATCGAAAAAGCCACTCCAATTGGGTGATATGCGGGCACTCTAGTTAACTCACCAATAATGTGCTAATATCAACTGGCATATATCGTTAAACAGAAATTAAAAGGCAATTTACGGTGATATTTAGATTGTCCGAAGATTATTTAATTCTCGTCTTCCTTTATCAAGGAAAATCACTTTTGAACTTTGAGGAAATAACTAGGCTCTTGCAAAATCCCTTACTTTGGAAAGCCTATCAAAATTAGCAAAGTTGCCTCAACATGATTGGAGAGGCCAACGAATGCGTCATTACAGCTTTTGGTCACCGGCACAAAGCCTCTGATGCAAGTAGTGCTGCGGTACGTTTCAGATATTATTGATCGTTGGTTGGCCATGCGGTGTCTACGCTCAGGACTGCATTTGTTCCTAGGCGTTTTATTATAAATGAGACTTGGTGGCGATGCGAACCTTTCAAGGGACGAAGTCGCGTTCTAGTTTCTTGAAAGCAAGTGTTTGAACGTAAAATGAACTCACATATTTTAACCGATAGATTTACCTCCACATCGTGCACTCATGTCAACGTATGTTCGTACGGCTTAAAAGTCTAAAAACCGGCAGTTGACTTCAAACTACCACTTCCAAAGTACTCCTCTTACTTTCTTCTTTACATTTGTGTCTCTCGCTTTTACATCTGGGTATCACTCTTTCGTTTCAGCAAAATTCGACTTTTTGTAACTAAAATTTCTCCCCTCTGTGATGCCCGAGGTCAACTATCAAAAAACCCGCCAGTTGATATAAATATTTAAGCCAAATATTATCACTGACAGTTACAAGTTTCCATTAGTTTTGTCTGAAAATTACTACGAAATCGGTTATAGCTTATGCATCAAATATTTGAATAAAATTTGACCAGAGGGGCAAGTATTTTCAATCTCCAATCGAATTTTTCCGTGCTGCGCCGTCGGTGTGCACACAAAATACTTGTATTAAAATAACGGTGTCCCTACTCAACGTTATTTGAGCAGGGGAAAGCATTAAAAACCCCACAGCGTTCTCTATGCTTTGCTGAGGTCGGCAACTATATCTGAACTCCTGCGTTTTAGTAGCAATATATCTTTGCCCCAATTCGTACTAATGACCCCATTAATCCTCTGCTAAGTCAGCCTAAGTAGTTGTCTACATTTACGTTTCAATACTTTCTCTTTTTATTGCAAATGTTCCCCCCCCCCCCAATCCATCCATTTCTAGTTTCAGTTATTTGGAAGAACAAAATAGACGACACGTTGGATTTTGTCAGCCTTAGAGACGACATGCTTTTACATCTTTTTCTTGTCGTATTTTTCTTGTTGAAACTGAAGTAAATCGGCATTTTTTAATACGCTTATAACTACTCCAATCTTGCTGACTATGTGCCATATTCATTTTTGTCGGAAGTAAGCTCAGATTCCAATTTGAACTCTAGCGAATACAACACAAATAAGCCTTCACTAGACTTTAATATTCCTCTTGGCAGCTCCTAATACGACATGTCTCTGGCGAGAATCCACCAATACACAATTTTTCCCGAAATTCGCTAAGTTACACCTATTTCTAAGTTTTAACGGATCAACACACCTCTTATCTCCAGACTCTTCTCACTAGCCAGGCCTCCTCCTTTCTTTCTATTCGCTTCTGTATTCTGCTAGCTCCGTCTACCTTCTTCATTTCTGCCCTACCCTCCTCCCTCTTTTCTACTCCCCATGATAGTACTATTTCGTCTAGTAGAAAAATCATCTGCCAAACTGAGTGTCTTTATTTTTGTGCCTTATCATGTGTGGTTCATCATACAAAATTATGACACTTTAAAGTAGATGTTAAGTTTGACTATGTTTGAGGACCAAACGACGGTTGCATCAACAATAAATGTTAGCGGTGATTCCGAAAAAAAACAACTAAGGACTTGTCAGTTAAAGATTTACAAGTGTGGTAGTAAAAAAAGATCCATGTTTTCCCCTATAAAATTTGTTATAGTTCACCTCGTCTCCTTTGGTTCTCCCTTTCGACTAAAGAAGCATGAATAAGGGGAACAGTGGTTTTTGAAAAAAATGGCAAAATATACATATATAATAAATCCTTTGGACTACTTACAGTGCTGTCTTAGACCTTCCCTAGCCTTTTCTTTCTGCTCTAGATGTGGGAAAAACGATTAAATTTTAGCACAGCTTGCAAGATTTGTTTAAACAAATCCAACATAAAATGTGCAGCCCATCGTACTAGGCCAACACTTACCTCTGTGTTCTTTAATTTTCTCCAAGTCGTCATTAAGGTAGGGTATGTAAGTGGTCCTCAATCCGAAGAAATCCAAGTAATAGCCCGCAAGGTCAGCCTCGGCGTCTGGAACTTGGGATATTAGGATGAGAGCTGCTATCACGACAAACTTTAGCATATTGCTTTGTGAAATGTGCTTTAAAGTAGAGCAAGTGCATTTGTTGCTGACATTTAGAGTAGTACACTTGGAAAAGCTCGGTAGCCAATTATTTCTTGTCTCAGCGCACACTTGCACAGCACCTTCTACTCATGTTGCATTGGGTGCGTGAATATTTGCATATAAAAATTTTGTCTACCACTGTAGTCAGTTAAATTAGCACAGAACGCTCAATAAGCAGTGTATAGTCAATGTGAATAATAATTTCATCCAATGATAATCTTTCAAACGAAAATGAGGTGAAATATCATTGAACTCAACGGTATTTCGTTAGCAAGATTGAATTCTAAGGGCACGTGTTCTAAGAAGGCTTATTGCCATAAGGTGGGGGAGCAAATTTGTAGGATGATTGTTCTCCTTGGTCCATTTTCTTAAATACCACTACGCCAATAAGCGCTTTATTTAACCTTTGCAATACCTGTCGAAGTCTAACTAGCTGCAAACAAATACACGAGCTGAGTCCTGGAGCATACATTTTTGCTCTCGCTATGAAAGAAACTATGTTTAGAGCGACGAGAACACAGATCGGGTGGAGGGAAGTATATCTACTTTATCTATGGCAAATTGGAAAGCCTGGCCATCAATCAAGTGCAATTACTTTGCTAAACTAGCAATAGCTTGTTAGCTGATAAGCCTTCTGCACGCAAGACGCAGTTGGGAAGTTGTAACTTTTAGGGATTCCCCAGGATATACTTCTATGAAATAAAAAAATATTCATTGAAATTTTTGCTCATTAGATTATTTTCTGGCAAAGAAAGTCTAATACTCTAGGATTGTTTGTCTATTACTTAGCGTTACTTCTGTAGCGATTATCTACACGAACAAGCCTTCACTCCTCCTCAGTGATCTCTATGGCAAGTTACGTTAAACCATGTAGAGGAAATAAACGTGTGGTGTGAAGCCCATTTAGTCGGGATCTGTCTGTCATAGAGTTTAGTAAATAATGCAGGAACTATTGATTGTTGGTTGGCTGAGAGGACCCTGTGCTCACGATCGGATTTGCTCCTTACATGACAGGTAGCACGACCACACATTCGAGTCCAGTTTCCTACACAGGACTTCAAAGCGAACTGTAGCCACTCCTGCGATATTGGCCTAAAAATTTTACTCACTTCCTTACTATGGCTCATTATTCTGACGGCTGCTATTATCATAGGTTAGCTACTCGAAGTATAGATGGGTTTGATGTATATTCATGTGAAATACCTAATTGAGGAGTTATTTTCCTATTAAAATGCATTGAGGTGTTAATTATTGACTGTTTTCAGGGTCTGAATTAATTTTCTTATGTACCGTGATACACGTCCTATCGTCATTAGCCAACAAAATCTTACCGCTACGCATGCATTCAAGTAAATAGTGCGCTCTCTGCTAGGTATCATTAAAGTGCCACCATTATTGATTCCTTTTTCACCTTACTCCCTGTTACTTGATCTTACTGGCACTTTCAGGCTCATGGGTACTGATATTGGAAGGAAGAAGGGTTCTAAGAAAGTCTTATTAGGGAAGATCGTATTGAAAAGACAGGAATGATCAATCACTAATCGCAAAAAGGATATAAAGGTTTGAAGGAGCAACCATCATGTCATCGGAGCTACTTTTGCCTCCGGCAGAATAAATTTATGGTTGAGTATGACTCAGTTCCAAGCTTCTCGTTGAACCCCGCTACACCCATGGTGGCCTGTGTGGTGGCAGGTATTTCCCTATTGGTTAAAAAGATTGGCATCTTCGCCTACTTCTAATTCTTCAGTAGTGATGTAGATCTTCGTGTTCCGGTTTTATTACTTAATATTAATTGGAACTAGGGTGCTCGATAGACTTACCATCATGCGGAGCATCCTGAGCAACGTTTAATCATACGGCAAAAAGTCTATTAATCAGCAGTTGACTTCTTACTTCAAGCTACCATGACCCCACTGTATGCCATATTTGACCACTTCCACAGTACTCTTACCTTTTCTCTGCATTTGTGCCTGTATGCCTCTTTTACATCTGTGAATCATTATTCTGTTCCCCCTCTCGACTTTTTGTCCTTTTGATGTTCCTCTTCCTCTCTGTGAAGCCTGAAGTCAGCTAAAGGGCTAATGATAACTATCAAAACGCCTGCCATTTGAGATAAATAAGTAAATATTAATTGTAACTCGAGTGCTATCTTCTATCTAGACAATTTGTCCTACTATCTTGAACAAGAAAGAAAGTGCGAATCCTTTTAAAGTCCATAATTTTGTACTTTCATCTGTAATGATAAATTCATGTACTCATTTCATTATTTCGTCAAGACCTATTAACCTTCATAAAGGGTACATTATATCTTTCATCTTTCATAAGCAAATGAGACGTACAATTTGAGTAATTGCATCTTATTGATGAAAGGAGGATTGGCACAAGGATTAGAGAGTAGGGCTTTTAGTGGCTTTCTGAAATTTTCCAATCAAACACATTAACAAATGAATCTTCCTCTATAAGTTATTATCTAGAACTCCTGTTCTTTCTATTGTTGAATTGAGGTTATTTGTTCTCTTCTGGTTATTAGGATTTTCTTAACTTCTAGCACATTTTTCTGTTGTTCATTGACTACCGTTATTTATGTATTATCTGGACGCTTTCCAGGTCCCAGTGCTTTATTTTGATGTCTTTTGCCTTTTTAGTTATACTCACGAGTTCAGGTCACTTTAGTCTGATTATTTTCATGACAATTTACCTAATTCCAGTTATCCTGGTTTGCCTAGTCTTGAGGTCAGTGCCATTCATTAATGAAAATAGAATTAACGACATCTGCCTTTTTATTTAAGTTCAGGCAGACTTATCAGCAGAATTTGCATTTTTTGAAAAGAATTTAATGTACAGAAATAGAATAAGGAATAATTGGGGGTTTTGAGGGAGATCATTGTTCCTTTTTGGTAAATAAGAAAACCATGCTGCTGTTAATGATAAACATGTAGAAAATTCATGTGATGGCCATTGGCTAGAAAACAGAACGTAAGAAAATTTACCAAAGCGGTAATTAATTTAATGCTAATTTATCATTGACATCTTACCTGGACTTTTTGGGATCTTTCCAAATCCGTTACTGAACTGTCCTACATTGATTAATTATAGTAATGAATTATATTTTAAAAGAAGATGGCATTGATGAGATCATAAGCAGACTTACGTTGTCGTTCTTCTATTACAAATGGTCCTTTTAGAGGGAAGGCAGGAGTTTGAGTAATTTGGGCTGTAATAGCCAGAAGGAAGACGAAAAAGAGTATATGGCTCATGTCTGCTCTCAGAAGAAAATTCTATATGATATCTCAAAGAAACTCCCATGTTCTTATATCTGCGCTTATAAGTGGAAGGTGTGGTCAGCAGGATCATATGATTCAATTTCTCTCTCTCTCTCTCTTGACGTAAACCTCTCACGCCTAACTTTGAGTAGCGCAAAGAAAAATCAAAAGAATCGAATAATTATTCCCTCTTATTAGGGTAATAAGTGATCAGTTTTGGGTGAAAAAAAATCAATTTAAGTTTGACCTTATTATTATGTTAGAATGCTATTTGGTCATGGGTAACTATTGACTTTTGAAATAGTCAACTCTAATTTAATTAACTCTATGCAGTATGGTTAATAGTTTATCACTAGGTACAATTAAATTGCATTTAAAATGTAAGTACTCGGGGTCAAACTCAAACCGAGAGCATATTTATTCCAAATAGCACTTTTAGAATACAAATCAAATAGCAGTTATGCTATAAATCGCCATTTGAGCACTTTATTTTGGGTTTACGGTAAAACGAACTGTTAAAAATGATAATTAAATCTAGAAAAAGATTTATGGCATTTGATTCTTTGCAAGCAAATCCAGCTAATATCGTAAAGGAAAATATCTCTTAAATTTAAACCTTGAAGTTCTAAAATTCGTTCAACTATTTTCTCAAAAAATGGCTGATATTAACATCTGTATAATCCAAAATTGTGGAACATAGGCATTACTCTCTTTTAAATTCGCTGAAAGGTTCCCCCATTGAACTGAATTGTAGATAATGAGAAAAGAAAATGCGCAGGAAGGCGAACCTCCGATCTAAAAAATCAACATCTGCAACATTTTAGGCTCCAAACAAATTCCCTCGAAAGAAAAAAGACCACTAGAGCAACTAAAGCAATCTAGGCTGAAGGCCCCAAATATGTCAGAGTAAATTGTATTTTGGAAGTTATGGGCTCACTATCCAAATCATTCGCATTATATCCGGATTTCAAATCCGGACATCACATTAATGAGAATCTTTTTGGTATGGAAACTCGCTTTAGGTCATCCTATTCATGCGGTTCAATCTGGAGACCAATCTGTTTGATAATGGAATAAATACCAACCCCTTCGATGCTATTAAAACAGTGTAGTCGCAATAAGACAAACACATTTTTTACCAATTAAAGATTATATATTTATGAAATAAAAATTGCATTGGTCTTTAGTGCAAAACTAGTGTATTCTGTGATACTTCGGAGCGCCATCTAAATCAAATTAAAATAGATTTATGCCCACCCCGATTTGAAATGAGAGCAAAAATCGATTACTTACAAATTAGTTCTAGATGATTATCATCTTCATCGGTTCCTAAGAGTTGGCGATTAGATGAATAATGAAGTCATTGTGAATCACTTTATTTTCTTTTGAAATAAAAACTTACCAATACTTCTTTCTGAACCAAGCTCATACTCATCACTCATTTCTAAAAAGGACGGCATTGAATAACTCCGGTCTGTTATCGCAAGAACATAAGCAAAAAGAAAGATCATATTCATGATTTTTCAATTTTATGAAAATTCACAATTGTTGGCTCCGACTTCTATACTTTTTCAAGAGGTTGAGCTTGGTCCCCCCATTTTAAGGCTTGACGTAACTTCAAAGAAACTACAAATTTCGCAATGAATCAATCACGCCCTTTGAGAGACAAATCTGGCGATAAGGACATTGCTATACTCCAAAAATGCATTTGTATATCGGTGTAGATTCCTTTATTTTTCTGTCGTTACTGTATCACTTAAATACAAATGGCTTAACTAATTAATACTGAAGCTGACCTAGTTGTAGAAACGAATTCTGATTAAAAATTCCAAACCCTTTATTTTATCGGTGGCACCATACTTAGAGGTTCTCATTCTATAATTTTTACGGTTTTATGCTATTGTGCCAATGGCCGAGTTTGAACCCAAGGCATCTAATAAGTGAATAATTGTACAGAATCCGACTAAGCAGTAGATGTTAGTAATCACTTGAAATATAATCTCCCGATAAAATTAACAAGTTCGTTTAATTGAAGTTTATTTTATTAATATAAAAGCCATCGTAAAATAATCAGTCACTGAAGCTTAATGTATATCGTGGTAATCTCTCTCGCCATCTAAATCAATTGAAAAAAATCGATTATTTCTAGTTCTGATTATAGAAGTAAATTATAAAAACGGATACTCACAAACTTCTGCCACTGTTTTTCCATACGTATTTCCATTATAGCCTAAAATTTCAAAAAAAATTATTTAATCATTCCAATATGAAAATCGATAAAATATCATGAATTTTGAAAGTTACTGAGGCTCTCTTCCAGTTCATCGCGTTCTTTCTCACTGAGACTGTCGATGTCTAAACTCGAGTTGGGATAAATTTGGGCTGTTATTGTGAGGGTGAAAAGAATGAGAAACAGCGAGTTCATGATTTGTCAATACTTCTAAAACTTATTATTTCTTGGCGTCGACTTTTATACCTCCTTCGAGAGGTTAGGTGCAAAATCTTCTTGGCGTGTCTTCAAGTGTTATGTGGTAGCACCACATCCCCCCTTTGATACCACCCGGTGAAAATTTGACAGGGGGCAAGTTTAAATTGATTTTTGTGTTGGCAACGCCGCGTTGATTTAAGAGTGCATGTTCATTAGAACAGCTCTCCTTTAACTCTATTAAAAATGCTATTCCGTTCCCCCCCAGGAAGATCATTATATCAAAACCTAAAATAACATTAATAATAAGTTTACATAGATGTAGGTAATTGGGAAGAATGGAATGACAAAAGTATCTCATTTATCAACCAAACTAAGGTTAAGAATTATGGAGGTCATTTTGAAGCCTCTGCTTACTTACGACCTCCCCACAATGGAATTAACGTACAAGATATTATTATCGAGAAGACTAATCAAATTTAGTAAAGCCGCAAAATTTGCCTAGTGGAATCCACTGGGAAATTCTAAGGCCAAGCTTCATTTATGAAGAAATCGACTTCTGGGAGCTTTAAAAATTCTGTACATTTTTCATTAAATTAAAACCAGAAAGATACCAAGTATTAAATCTTGGCTTAGGTACATTAGAAGAGCTACAAATAAAATCTTCGGTCTAGTTGATCCCACAGAGCGAAAAATAAGAATAATCCTCCCCATCAATGGCTAAACAAGAAAACCATAAATTACCAGGTATCTACTTCTTATTTTAGAGCTCTTATTTATCCCCCCCCCCCTATTTTTCCTCCTCTGGACAGCTTAAGCTAACGTATCAGACCATCATGCACAGAATTGAAATCAAGTGAAATGCTAGTTCTTCCTATGTGGTTTCCAATTCTTGCGTAATTCTCGGAAGCATAATGAACCTTACTGATTTTTTTACTTTAGCAATAGAGATATTTTATTTGCTGCAGGTTCTGGTGATAATAGGATAAGTTAACCTGAATCTCTGCTTTTCAATGGGCGTTTACATGTGGATCAAATGGAATCTTCGCCAAATGAAAGTCGCATTTAATTTAATATATTTATTGGCAGATCTATTGCAACCATCTTAACCCTTGTTTGCCATTGCGAATCGCTGAATACACGTTAAGTGAAATAGACAATATCCAAGGCTGTCAACGCAAGCCTTAACCACCACCAAGGCACCATGAATATCAATTTAAGAATTCAAAAGCTTGAAGAGTTGGTAAAATTAAGCAACCATATTATTCAGGAATATCATTCTCTCATAAAGCTTTGGAGTTTCGTCAGTCCAAATCGGGAACACCAACAGACAGATAGGTTGGGCTCAAGGCTTAGATGACTGCACAAGCCAGCGTGATGTCATGAGGCAAAATGGCAACTTCCTTCCGTCTTAACCCACTTCCAGACCCCCCAAACAAGGTTTAACATGCCTGTGATACTCTCATCTACCAGTTCAGGAAGACACAAGTCAATCAAAGTAGCATGACCAAGAATTCAATTAAGTCAAATGGCCAACTGTAGCGAATATTGAGAAAGTGTATTGAACCAAAAATTCATGGACATATTTATATATATCAAATGGCCGGTTTTATGTTACTTATTATTAGCCCTTGATTGATTTCGGGCTTCACAGAGGGGAGAAACATCAAAGTCGGTAAAAGTCGACGGGGAGGGGGGGGGGAGAGCAGAAGAGTGATTCACAGATGCAAAAGGACAGATACAAAGGTAGAGAAAGGGTAAGGTGATTACTGTAGAAGTGGTCGAAGATGACATAGTGTAGGGTCATGTTAATTTGGAGTCAGAAGTCAACTGGCAGTGTATAGACATTTTGTCGTATGAGTATACATTGCCCAGGGTGCACCACGTGGAGGGACATCTATCCCCCCCTCCATTCATGAACATATAGATGTGAATAATATTTCACTTTACAAATTGGATTATGCCCCTAATGAAAAATTGCCTGCATACAGCCATGGAAATTCAACTCAATAATGACTCTTAAAATCCTGGTTCCCCTTTTGTGATCATATTCGTGCGGTCTAGCTCTTCGTTGCATTACTTGCTGATCTATTTCACGTAAATAGGTGTGTTGGAACTTGACTGGATAATAATATTCTTTTCTTTATATCCAACCATTTTGTTTGATTTCCGGTTCAGGTATGAATTAATTGGCATTTAAATGAAGAGAAATTATTTTTATATTCATAACCAATGCTGCCATCTCTCAAACTCAGCAACGTTTTCTGCATCACAGGATTTGGTTTTGCACATAAATTTGTATTTTAAATCTCCCCGAAAATTTATGCCATCTTCGTATTATTCCAAGGAATTTGGCTTTCACCGTAGAACAGGAAGTCGAGATAAATGATACACATCAATTGACTCATTGCGAATACTCCGCAAGATGGTTTTAAGATGCCCTTAATCAGATAAGAGCCACAACCTGCACATCATGAAATATTTCTGCTTGATTTTATTACCTATAAACCCTCCTAACGCTGGCTGGAATAATCCTCAAGTTCCAAGTTTTATTTTTTACAACTTTATAAAAAAATCACATAAAAATGAGAGAGGAGAAGTACAATGGTGGGGACAGAACAAAGACAAGGACAAGAATAAATGCATTTTCATTAGCAATATGATTTGGTTGATTTTCTTTACAAAGGTAGAAAGTTATGAAAGACTACGGAGTGATTATGGGAGAGTAAAATGCTAAGAAGGGGTCCTACTCAAATACATTGAGTAAGAATACACCTTTAGGAATTATTTTGTTCCTTTATGAAATCAGGAAATGTTTGAGTGATGACGCTGTCTAATCCCACAATATTTTTACCAGGAACTTGAAATGAGCTTCCAACAGTAGTTCGTAATTTCTCTGCCAAATTAAGAATCTGCCGATGGGTGAAGACCATTCTAAAGTATTCAGCGTCCGTTACGCTCGATTGTCTCAAAGCCACGCGGAAGTAATTTTGCGCTTCTTTCAGAGGTTGTTTCATTTTCAGCTTTAGTTCATCAGGGATCCCGGGTTTTTCTAAAGATAGAGATAGAGATGTGTTAGACATGCGCATCTAACCCTAGACGATGAGTCATTAGTGAGGTCAAGGAACTAGCTAAGTCATTCAACACACAGGCATTTGCTAAAAGGGGGAAGGCAGGAAGGGTGGGGAGAAGCTGGGATTTAAACTTGCCATTTTCATAGAGCAGAACCATACACAAGCATTGAATAGCATATGGAGAGAATTTGAGATCTTGAAAGTATTCCCCTAACTCGAATAGTTGCCTTAGAGTATATCTTTGAGAAATAGTCAACTGATTAAGTTCGATCGATTCTTCTACACTCTCTTCATTCTCTGAGAGTTGATAATCCGCGGAACAAAGAAAGAGAACAAATCGACACTCATTGCTTGTCATTGATTGTTTCAAGGCTTCAAACTCGTCTAATGAAAACGAATGTTCGTTAGAACCAAGAACCACATCAGCCAAGGGGACATCAGTCTCTTGCGTTGGTAGATCAGCAGGAACTTTTGATGTAGGGAGAAGTTGGGCCAATTTAAATGCAAAACGTACCAATAACACAGGCAAAAATCCTAAAATGAAGGCGAAATTTATTAGATGATGCCCTTTTCATTACACCAACAAAAAAGTGGATTTTTTGCAACGTCTCACCAGATTTTAGAATTTGCATTTGTTCTTGAGGAGTAAATGTGGAAAAAAGAGGAATTTTTGTGGCCCAGACAGTAAAATTAACACCCGATTCAAGGTAACAACTTGCAAGAATCTCTTCATCTTTCAAAACCTAGAATAAAACAAGTAGGAAAGTCGTAAAAAATGAAAAGATTATTACTTTTATGGTGTAGAGGTTAAACTCACAGAAATAAGTGAGGAAGATTCAGGAAGAGCAAGTTCAGCTGGAGGGAAATCAATCTCGGGTGTAAAGGTATTTGCCTGTTCGGGAAAAGGAAAGATTCCTTGCAAAATTGCAAGTGGATCGGGTGGAGTATTTCCACACAACTTGGCAGTTTTCACGACCTCCTTGTTTACATTTTTAGCTAAACACTTTGACACTACACATCTCCAACAAGATGCTGGCTTATGAAGAGATTCTTGTAGCGCAGAGCATTTACAGTCTTCCAATAGATCAAGATTAATCGCACTTTTGTAGTCAACTAAGCAGTATTGACATAAATCGAGACCTGGAAAACAAATACATTTCAGCTGGAAAAATCCACCAAATATTAATTATACAATAAAGCAGCAAATAACTCACTTATTAACTTCTCGTTGATAGGTCTCTCTTCGCAAATAATACAGATTTTTTTACAAGATGTCCCATCAGTTGCAATAAGTGTACAACTACGAGGGTCGCTAGCAGTGGTCTTTGATTTGCGTCCTCTTTTATTACGGTTTGGATTTGATGTAGGTGGAACCAGAAGTCCGGCTTGTGGAATGGGTTGATAATGACACGAAATTTCTGGATATTCCGACTGGTAATCTTGTGGCTGAGGATTCATTACTAGAGATTGGGAAGGAAGTTGAGGAAACCATTGACCGAGATAAGACAAAGGTGACGATTGAAGAGCATATTGTGTTTGTGAATTAGAGTAATAAAGCATTTCAGCATTATCATTATCTACTCCACTATCTTTTCCTCTAAATTCACGTGGATAACTGTATTCAAGATCCGGCTGGGGGGTTATGAGGTCTTGATATCCACTGTAAGTCGGCTCAGGAACCTCGTTTTGATAACTTTGTTCCATACTACTGCAATTACGAGGATCTCTAGTTGGTTGAGCAATATAAGCCCATTCTTGCTCAGAAACTGTGCAACAGGAACATAAAATATTTATAAACCAAGATGTAAGATAAACGTATTTGAAAATGAGGAAAAAACATACTTGGACAAAGTTTTTTCGAGGGTGCTTGGGAACTCTCAATATGCTGATTTTCCAACTGCCCATTTCCATTAATATTAACTTCAGCTTGGACTGGGTTATTGCATATATGACCAGAAGGAATATACTTAGTGTAAGCTTGGGCTACAAATTCAAGACAAAAAGAGTAATTTTCAATAACAAATACATAATTAGCCACATTAAAGTACTTACTATTAAGCATACCGGGATTAATCCTGCTAATTGGGGTCGGACTAACATATTCCTGCTTAGAATTGGTTGGTCTTAAAGATAAATTATAGCTCGTAAATACATCGTGATCATGAAGCGCATGGGGCCAGTCACTTTTCTCGAAGTTGGATGTACTGGAGTCCATTTATATGTCCCCTAGAAATTTGAATATATAAAAGAGTATTTATCGCAACAAAAATAATAAAATCATTTAATAGAACACTAGAAATACGAAAAATTACATGAAATATAATCCACGCACAGATGAAACAAATCACGATAAATGAAAATGATGATTCAAGAGTATCAAGAAGATATATATGACCCATTGATCAGTTATAACAAACTTATCAAACTAATTAGAATGGTACTTTTCAACAAAAGTTAAGCCAATTTTATGTCATTCATTTTGAAATTTTTGTTTAAATTTAAAGTTAAAAACACAAACACCACACTGTAAAGAAATGACTTTGGCATGATTGATCTATAATTGATCAACCATATTGATGCTCAACCAATATACATTTCGTAATCTTAAAATGTTATATTCCAGTTATTTAAAATATTTAGCGCTTTCATTTTAAAGTAGAATTTCATTTAATTATTAATTTAGCTGGTTACACCTTGCGTAAAGGTTAAGTGCTTGGAAAGTGTGGGAAACTCCATCAATAACCAAATAGAAATCCTGCTTTAAACACTACTTAGAAATATTTTGCTATTAATGTTCACACGAATCATGCTGGAATTATCTGATAACTAATCGCTTTGCCAAACACACACTTCGCTATCTATATACGTACTGAATAGACGTATCCCGTGCTAATTCACAGGGACTTTCGAGTGGGAAGAAATTGTTATAGAGATTTCTGAGAATAGTCAAGGTTATTGAGGTAGCTAAACCGCTACAATTTGGTGACCTTGACGTGATCAAGCCTGACTACAACCTCTCAGCAGTGGAATAATCTCTCTGGTATCGCGACTTCCTTTCAATCGCTCAACTCGCCCGGTTCAACAAAAGCACCTTCCTTCATTTATTCGGCGAATACTTTTTGTTTTGTTCAATCTACTCCAGTCTTCTACTTCCGTCCTCCTACCAAATCACAATGTCCAAAGAGTTTAATCTAAACTCCGATACACTCGGTCTCTCTGTGTGCAATCCGGTTTTTGACCCCCAATGCCCTGATATTTGGTTTACGCAGTTCGAAAACATTCTTGAGGCAAAAGGTATTAACAAGCGAACAACATGGTTCCAATATGTTACAGGAGCGCTCCCGACTACGATAGTCAAACAGTTCAGACATATTATCTCCAAGCCGCTAGATGGCGACTCATACGATCAACTCAAGCAAGCCGTCATCAATCGTTTTTCTGCTCCGCGAGAGGACCAATTGCAGCAAATCATGTCTCAAGTCGAACTCGGAGATCGTTCTCCTTCTGAACTTCTACTTCATATCCGCTCTCTGGGTGGTAGTTATGATTTGGGTGACAATTGCATAAAGGATCTCTGGCGGAACAACCTACCTGCTCACATCTCCGCGGCGGTTACCACACACCCAAACCAAGATAACTTGGATAAACTGGCGGAAGTGGCCGATATAGTCCATCGTTGTTATCAAAAGCCCGAAATTAATGCGGTCAAAACTTCAAATTCTACTAGTACCGACAATAAGCAACTTGACGCAATTAACGAACAGCTAAAAAATCTGTCGCTAATCGTGGCAGACCTCGTCTCCCAGCGCAACCACCCTGAAGAGCCCGACCGACAACGTTCTGAGCCCCGAAGACGATACCGAAGTCCCTACAAGCGTTATAATTCCATCTGTTTTTATCACAGGACATTCGGAGACGAGGCCCAGAAGTGCGTAACCGGTTGTAAATATCAAAAGAGGGGCTCGTCAAAAAACTCCAACGCCAGACAGTAAAGGCGACTACTGACCCTGCCCATTTCCAAAGTCGCCTCCTTCATGTCACTGACAGAAATTTAAAGATCAGATTTCTGGTCGACACGGGTTCTGAAGTCAGCGTTATTCCTCATATACTAGAAAAACGTTGTCTAAAACCAACCGGAAACCCACTTTTTGCAGCCAACAACTCCAAGATTACCGTCTACGGCCGGAAGTTCCTTAATATAGACTTAGGCCTCCGTCAGAAGTTCCCCTTCGCCTCTATTATCGCAGATGTTAAAAATCCCATCATTGGAGCTGATTTCCTTACCAAGTTCCAGTTATTAGTAAACCTCCGAGACAGAACTCTACAGGATAACGCCACGTCATCGCAAGTGGGGTGTTCTACAGAACCCAAAAATACTTTCGGTCTTAATGTTGTCCTTCCAACTACGGACCCTTTCGCTAAGTTGTTATCCGAATTCCCATCGCTCTTCCGTGCACAAGCAGAAATGCTGGAGCCAAAACATGGGGTACATCACCATATCAGTACAACAGGACAACCAGTCTTCGCAAGGCCTCGCCGTCTGCACCCTGACAAACTACGCGCAGCCAAACAGGAATTCCAACACATGGTAACGTTAGGCATCGTTCGACCCTCAAACAGTCCTTGGGCTTCCCCATTGCACATGGTCGTGAAGAAAAACGGTGACTAGAGACCATGCGGAGACTACCGGGCTCTAAATCGAACCACTGTCCCTGACCGATATCCCATACCCCATATCCATGATCTTTCGTTGCAGTTACACGGAAAAACCATTTTCTCTAAGCTTGACCTTGTTAGGGCTTACCATCAAATCCCGATGGCGGCCGAAGACATTGCAAAGACTGCGGTAATAACACCATTCGGTCTGTTTGAGTACCTGCGCATGCCTTTCGGCCTCCGCAACGCGGCGCAATCATTCCAACGTTTCATGGATCAAGTTTTTCGAGGGTTAGATTTCGTCTTTACCTATATCGACGATGTATTCATCGCCAGCTTCAACCCGGACGAGCACAAACAACACCTGCGACAGGTGTTTGAACGTCTTCAACAATACGAAATCACGGTTAACCCCGAAAAGTGTAAATTCGGCCTGGCCACGATCGATTTTCTTGGTCACCACATCGACGGTCGTGGGATCACACCTCTCTCCGAGAAGACTCAATCCATCATGGATTACCCCCTCCCACAATCCGTGAAGAGCCTTCGCCGTTTCCTCGGCGTTGTAAACTATTATGGAAGATTCATTCCGCGGCGCGCACAACAGATTTGCTCAAGGGTAAACCGAAGCATTTCTAAACGACACCGGAAGCAGAATCAGCGTTCCTTCTGGTCAAACAAGAGCTGGCAAAGGCTACCACTCTAAACCATCTCAATACTTCTAGCGTGACACGCCTTGTCCTTAAGACGGACGCATCCAATGTGGCAGTCGGAGCAGTTTTGCAGCAGTTTGTCCGAGGTGAAATGCAACCCCTGTCCTTCTTCTCGAAGAAGCTCACCACAACGGAAACACGCTATAGCACATTCGGCAGGGAACTTCTAGCTATTTACTTAGCAGTCAAGCACTTCCGTCATATATTGGAGGGACGACTTTTCACCATTTTCACTGACCATAAGCCATTGATCTATGCTATGGGAGCTACTTCAGACCGTCACTCTCCAAGAGAGACTCGACATTTAGACTTCATATTGCAATTCACTAATGACATTCGCCATATCGACGGCGCTAGCAATGTGGTCGCCGATGCGATGTCTCGTATGGAGTTAAACCAAATCGTCGTTCCCTCTCTGGATCTACAAGCCCTGGCGTCCGAACAAAAGACAGATCGCGATTTCAAGGAAATCACATCCAACCCCTCGTTACGTTTCGAACGCTTACCCCTACCCGACTCAGACACTGAGATACACTGTGACGTATCAACCGGCAAGCCGAGACCATTCGTCCCGCAAGCCTACCGCCGGAAGATTTTCGACCATTTCCACGGTCTGTCACATCCTGGCATTCGATCCACAACGAAGTTGATCTCTGACCGTTTTGTTTGGAAGAACATTCGACAGGACGTGCGGCAGTGGGCTAAAAATTGCCTCAAGTGCCAAGTGAGCAAGGTCCAATGGCATACCCGCAGCTCGATCTCCAATTTTCCCCTCCCCGAAGCCCGTTTCCGACACATTCATGTTGATATCGTTGGCCCGCTTCCCCCATCAAACTCTTTCACCCATATCTTAACTTGTATTGACCGATTTACGCGCTGGCCAATTGCTGTTCCATTACGGGAAACCTCTTCGACCTCGGTGGCGAAGGCCCTGATAGAATCATGGATATCCGTATTCGGAGTTCCAGCCGTAATAACGACCGATAGAGGATCACAGTTCACCTCTGCGCTGTTCCGCGACTTAAATCAGCTGTTGAGATCGACACAAATCCACACTACTGCCCATCATCCAGAAGGCAACGGCCTTGTCGAGCGTTTTCACCGACAGCTTAAGTCTGCCCTTATCGCGACTTCTTCTGGTTTAAACTGGGCGGAACGTCTCCCAATCATTCTTCTCTCGGTACGAAATACTATCAAGGAAGATCTCGGATACTCCCCAGTAGGACTCGTTCTCGGCATAACGCCTCGGCTTCCTGGAGAGATGATCTCTAACGTCCAAGACCCGTTTAAAGGAACATTTCAGAGCCGTCCGTCTAACCCCTACTCGTTTGAATAACACATCTACCTATATTCATAAAGACTTATCCACATGTCCCTTCGTTTTTGTTCGAGTGGATTCAGTTAAAAGACCCCTACAACCTCCGTACGACGGACCTTACAAATTTCTCAAACGCAAGCCAAAATATTTCATCCCCGACCACAACGGTATCAAGGACTCAGTAAGCATCGACCGGTTGAAACCAGCATACCCGGAGTCTCCTATTCTGCAGTCGGCAGTTAAAAATCATTTCTCCGTTCCTGCAACCCCAATAACTGCAGACCCTCTACCACTCTGCGTTTCCCCACCACCACAATCTCCACCCGAAGATACTCAGGACTCTTGTGTTTCCCCTCCTGACCCTCTTCAACCTGAACCCTATTACACTCGCTATGGCCGAAAAGTTACTTTCCCCGCCCGGTTGGCCGACTATGTACATTCAGTAAATCGAGCGTTTTCTTGTTCTCCTTTCAGGTTCCTACCAACGCTCTAGAGGGGGAGTATTGT